ATTATTTACTAGACTTCCACTCGCAACTTTGTCAATTGAGCATCTTAACTCAATCAAAATAAGATTTTTAAACCTCTCCTGTTTTATTTTAAAAGTCTTATTTTGATCGAATTTAAATATAATGCTCTAAATTTTGTCCTAATTAAATCAGAATATACAATACGTGGTGTATATTGAATAGAACTGTTCTAGTTGTTGCCTTGTTAGGATGTGAAATTACTGGACCCAAGTATTCAGAATCAGTACATAAATTATGAACAACTTTCACATATAGCAAACATAAAAATCATATTTGTATGTTATAGTTATAGTTTGTATAATTGCGCTCCATAGCAAATTTTATGTTTGCTATGGGACTTTTGATTTGTATAATTCGCTACAAACATCCAATTGTATACAAATTGTTCAGTCTTGTATAAATTCATTTATACATTGTAATTTGTCTAATAAGATCTGTATTTGTATAATTATAAGTGTATATGACAAAAATATATGTATTTGTATTTGTACATACACTTTTCTCTCGCTTTATACAAACACAAACGCATTTTATACATTTTTATATCAAAATGTATAAAATGACTAATTGCATATCGAAAATGGCTAATTGAATACCGAATCATACGGCAAAAAAAGGGAATGTTTGCTGCGAATTACAATTAAAATAAACTATGGCTATAACATTTAATTAATTGGTCTATCGAAAATTTTTATTAAGTGTCTCATATAATTGATACTAGTCATGCGAGACTTTTTTGTGTCTTGCAAAAAAAAGTGGACTCATATCTTACATTCCACAAACTTCGAGTTCATTTTTTAACGAGATAAAAAAGATGTCTCATGAGGCTCCTATATTATGGACCCTATAGTACGCAATTCCGATTAATCGAGGCTCCAAATTCCAATACGAACATCGGATATTTTATGGGAACAAAAAAAGAAGTCAAATACACAAACGAGTTCCATGTATAATATTAAAGGTTAAGCAAACTTTCTGAGAATCTTTAAAGAGGTTTAAATTTTAAAACTAGTAACAACATAATTCACCCCTTCTCGTATCGTATTGGTGCATAAAATAACTAATATGTACTAATAACTGTTTTTAATATGACATATTTTTTTTAAAATTGTCTCGAAACAAATATCATACTTCCTTATTTTAATGCATTGTAATTTATAACTAAGGAGCAGTAGTTTATCACAACAAATTGCAGTCTATTATTGTTCCCTTGGGCACCATGTGCTATAGTTGTTACACACCCCTTGTTGGAAAATGAGCCCAATTAAATGTCGATTCGCTCTGAAAAATCTCATAAATCTCATATTAGGTAGTATAATATTTTCTAATCAGAAGCGAATTCAAAATTTGAATGCAACAAATTAAAAATACTATTATTTTGAATATGTCAATAACTAGCGATAAAATTCATTGCGCAATGAATATAAAACAAAGTTAAAAAATACAATGTTACATTACTTAAAAGCTAATCGTAAGTAACTCGTTTGATAATTTAAAAGCTAATCGTAAGTAACTCGTTTGATAAAGTTTTCATTGGTAACACTGAGGATACATGATACAAATATTAATTATTCCTAGAAGAGATATGCTACTAAAAAACACTAGAATTATCTGCGAACTTCGTCTAGTCAGTTGCTATTTTGCTCGTAGCTAATGAAATTTGTCGTTAATTCATCGCTAAGTAGAATTAGCGACAAATTTTATTGTTTGACTACAAAATTCGTCTGTTGCTAAATTCAGTTTTTTTAATGGATGGGACTATTAGAGTATTTTAATTTTAATCATTAATTGAGAAGCTCAAATCACTTGATTATCAACTTAATTATTTGAATCATTATTAAGAAGTTCAAATCACTTCCCTATCAAGTTTGATGTCAAAAAACAAAAAGAAATTGTAATTAAATTGGCTTCTTGTCATACGTGTGTGTGAACATGATGACTTGTGAACAATAATAAGACTGGAGAAGAATATTTTTTTTGTTGGTACCACTTGGGAAGAATATTGCCCTCAACATGTGGTAAGTTGTATACGTAGATCTAACGATAGAATCAAAATTTTCATTAAAAAATTTAAAAATACAGAAATAAATTCCTTGCGCCACTCACTCCGACTTTGATCATTTAAGTGACTTCTTAATTACCAAAAATACTTGGACTAATTATAGGTGCTTCTTTTACATCATTATCTAGATGTAGATGGTATCACTCCATATTGAAAATTAATTAAATAAACACTCAAATTAAAGAGGATGAAATTCAAGATTTTAATTAAGACAATGGAGACTAATTATATTCTTTACACAACCTAATATGATTGACCTTTTAGCAAGAGTTGAAGATAAATCAAAATCAATTAGGACACTAATTTTATAATATGCAAAACAAATTAAATTTCAAATGAAAAATCTATGTAGCAATATATAACTCCGTGTTATTGACCTTTTAGCAAGAGTTGAAGATAAATCAAAATCAATTAAGACACTGATTTTATAATATGCAAAACAAATTAAATTTCAAATGAAAAATCTATGTAGCAATAACTCCATGTTTTTGACCTTCAACATGCATCATCCATATATCAAATCTCATGTTGTAAAATACTTACACAAGAAAATCATAAATTTAAATATACAAAAATGGTACTTCAATTTCAATTCAATGACGATGTATAAAATATTTATACGATCAGATCATTTATTAAGTAGTTACAAGCAAATTTCCTAATACATATTACTTGGTATGTTAATATATGATAAATATAATAACTAACCTGCTATCACATGTTAAAATTTGTTACACGAAAAAATCAAGTAGTACTCATTTGATTTAGTCTTCCATTAAAATAGATTTCTTACAATGAGCAATTGCAGCTTGTATAGCAGATTGCAATTCTTCCATAGTGCTATCACTTGATGAAGAATTAGTAAAATTACTATAATCTCCTCCTGTTGGTTTTGCTACAAGTAAACCACTATTTGTAGGTGATGTTCTTATTGAAGCTGGTGCTGATGAATATTCCCATTTATTATTATTTCCTCTTAATAAATTCCCAGAAAAAGAATGAAATTGCATATTAATCTTTTTATTTCTATAGAGATAGATCGTGCTTATTACACCTTTAAGCCAAAGTGGTTTTCCATGTAAAAGTTTGTGAGTACTTTCCTTTATTCCACATCATTCTTACTTATGGTAACTACTAGGCAATCAACGTAGATTGTGGTGCAATAGTTGGACTATTTCATCCTTAATTACAGGACTCGAGTTCGAGCCCTAGCTATGAATTTTTTTTTGTTTGAAACACCATCCATAAGCCCTACAGTACATGATCCGGATTAGTCGGGCTCTGATACGAGTATCGAATATTGGGTGGAAAAAAAACTAGGCAAAAACACAATATATACATGAACGTGTTCCATCATTAGATACTAAATGTTAAATAAATTTTTTGATCAACATGGGTTATGGTACATTGGTGGGACTGTTTCACCTTTAACCAGAGGTCTCGGGTTCAAGGAATATGGAGAAAATCCTTTTGGGAGCGCTCAGGCTCCAATGCGAGCTTCGGACCTGATACATATATGATTAATTATCACAACACATTGCTGTCTATTATTGTTCCCTTGGGCACCATATGTTAAACAATTCGAAAGGAAACAATGGCCAAAGTCTCTAAGGATAATATTGCATTAGAAGAGTTGTCAATCATAAAAAAAAAAAAAAAAGGATTAATATTTGACACATAGAAAGCTACATGATTGTTACACATCCCTTGTTTGCTAATGAGCCTGATTAAATGTGGATTCTCTTTGAAAAGTCTCATATTGAGTATAACATTTCTAAATCAGGAGCAATTTTAGAATTTAAACGTGATGTAAGCACTACTATAGTTTGAGTATGCCAACTATAATGAAAAAATTCGTCGTGCAACAAATATTGAAAAATTATGGTGTTAGATTACTTAAAAGCTAATAGTAAGTAACTCATTTAAAAAAGTCTTCATTGGTTACAAGCAATTTGCCATAACATGTTAAATAACACTGATGATATATATATGATATGAAGATCAATTAGAGTATTTAATTTTAATCATTAATTAAGAAACTCAAATCACTTGCTTATCAACTTAATTATTTGAATTACTATTAAGAAGTTCAAATCACTTCCCTATCAAATTTTGACCTAAAACACAAAAAGAAATTTTAATTAAATTGGCTTCTTGTCATACGTGTGTGTGAACATGATGACTCATGAACAATAATAAGACTGAAGAACAATATTATTTTTTCTTGGTACCACTTGGGAAGAATATATTGCCCTCAACATGAGGTAATTCGCATATGTATATTTAGCGATAGAATTAGAATTTTCATTAAGAAATATAATAATACAGAAATAAATTCCTTGCGCCCCTAACTCTGACTTTGATCATTCAAGTGACTACTTAATTACCAAAAATACTTGGACTAATAGGCGCTTCTTTTGCATCATTATCTAGATGGTATCACTCCATATTGAAAAATTAATTAAATAAATACTCAAATTAAAGAGGATGAAATTCAAGATTTTAATTAAGTCAATGGAGACTAATTATATTCTTTGCACAACCTAATATGATTGACCTTTTAGCAAGAGTTGAAGATAAATAAAAATCAATTAGGAAACTAATTTTATAATATGCAAAAGAAATTAAATTTCAAATGAAAAATCTATGTAGCAATAACTCCATGTGATTGACCTTCAACATGCATCATCCATATATCAAATCTCATGTTGTAAAATACTTACACAAGAAAATCATAAATTTAAATATACAAAAATGGTACTTCAATCTCAATTCAATGACGATGTATAAAATATTTATACGATCAGATCATTTATTAAGTAGTTACAAGCAAATTTCCTAATACATATTACTTGGTATGTTAATATCTGATAAATATAATAACTAACCTGCTATCACATGTTAAAATTTGTTACACGAAAAAATCAAGTAGTACTCATTTGATTTAGTCTTCCATTGAAATAGATTTCTTACAATGAGCAATTGCAGCTTGTATAGCAGATTGCAATTCTTCCATAGTGCTATCACTTGATGAAGAATTAGTAAAATTACTATAATCTCCTCCTGTTGGTTTTGCTACAAGTAAACCACTATTTGTAGGTGATGTTCTTATTGAAGCTGGTGCTGATGAATATTGCCATGTATTATTATTATTTCCTTTTAATAAATTCCCAGAAAAAGAATGAAATTGCATATTAATCTTTTTATTTCTAAATGACAAAAATGGCCTTACCATTTTTATATACCTCTTAACAACTTGACTCATCTTCTTGCTATATTGTTTTGATGATCTTTCTTTGTTTTGGTCTTTTTGATGATCTTTAAGTACTCTCCATTTTGGTATACCAAATAGTGAAAAAGACTTATTAGTCTTTGGTTTTCCCTTAGCATCACAACAAGTATCATCATCTAATAGTACTTTATGTTGTTGATGAAAAAAGTGATCTTTCTTGGGAAGTGTGAAGCCATCAAGGGAGTTGGTGGAAGATCTAGGGGAGGATATAGGGAAATGGGAAAGAAGGTGAAGAGGAAGTAAGTGTCCATGGAAGAAGATATCATCAGCAGGAGATAAATCTATAGCAAATGATGATGAAGAAGTGGTAGTAGTTGAAGAAGAAGAAGGAGGTGGGATTTGTTTTGTTTGTTGAAATGAGATTGTGAATGAGAAATCATGTGAAGGAGAGGATGAATTAGATGAACAATTTTGATGATCACTTTCTTGATTTGTTCTCATGATGGTTTGGTGTTGTTGGTTGTCCATATGGATGTGTGTTTGAAGGGGTAATGTAATATAAATTTGCTAGTAAGATCTTATATGGGGTGTCTCTAACTACTCTTTTTGTTATTCTTTGTATGAAGGGACAAAAAAAGAAGATAAGGATATGAGAAGAAGGTATCTTTATTATTGGTGGAACAGAGTTATTCGATATTTATGTTAATGAAAGATAATAAATTTTTTTGGGGGTGTTTCTCATACTACTCTTATTTTTATTCTTTGTATGAAGGGAAAAAAAAAGAGATAAGGATATGAGAAGAATGTGTCATTATTATTGGTGGAACAAAATTATTCAATATTTATGCTGATGAAAAATGAAAAATATTAAGTAGAATTAATTGAAGTGTGCGCAAATTATTCCACACCCCATAGTTGTAAAATAAATAAATAAAAAAGAGGATATTTGTTATTGAGGGTTGGTGAAGGAGGGGAGGTTCTTGCTTGTAGACTAAAATGTCTTATGAAGGGACAAAGAAGAAAGATATAAGGATATGAGAAGAATGGGTTTTTGTTATTATTGGTGGAAATAATTATTTGATATTTATTTATACTAATAAAGGATAATAAATATCACATAAAATTAATTGATGTATATGTGGGTCATGTAAAATTAATTAAGCTACGTGCAAATTGACGCAGATCCATAGTTATTAAAAAACGGTTCTTATTGGGGGTGGTGCATAGTAAATAGATACTTCCTCCGTTCCATTTTATATTTCATCTCTTTCTATAAATAGTTGGTCCATAATACTTGTCATTTCATAAAATCAATGCATAAATTACGATATTGTTCCTTTTTTACCCTTGAAAATATACATTTGACCAACTTAGAAAAGCTAAGTAAATGATTCATGTTCATTGGTTAAATTAATTAATCAAAATAAATTAATTCATATTCATTGATTGAAAACTTGAGTTCCAAAAAAATTAAATAAGGGTAGAAGGGTAAAGTTACATCATTTCTTAATACAAGTGCAAAGTAAAAAGATGACATATAAAATAGGACGGAGGGAATATATAATTGAAGGTTTTGGGCATGTGATGGACTGGTAGCTCTGATATGGTGGGGGGGGGGGGGGGGGTCTTTTTCATTTAAGTAGTTAATACATAATATAATATGATGTACACTAAATTATGGGTATCTAGTTTTAGATTCCATTTCATAATACTCAAATGATTTGCCCATACCGCTATAGACGAAATCTAGAAATTATATCGATCACTGATTCAATTTGATGAGTACCTTCATAGGATAGATCTCAATAGAAAATTGAAGAGTAACGACATGCAGCAAGTGATTGAGTTCAGTAGTTCCTCACATAAAATTATTGACTCTATAAATATGGTAATATGAAGAAGACAAAATTATTTTCAATACATATATACACATTCTTAAAATGTCTCAAGAGATTACTAACTGCTCAGACTAGATGGTTTATACCTCTTCATCCTTAAATACGGGTATCGAATTTTAAATTTGGAAATAGAGAACGTCCTATTGAAGATTGTTTTATCCTTTTAATAATTGACGTGAATTTAAATTAATCGAATAATAAGATAATTAATGGAAAAAAGTTAGATGTTTTGCATCCTTACCAAGAAGAATCTTTGATTTGATCAAACAATTATTAGACTATTTTCTTCCCACTTAGATATGGAAATTTCATTTTCTTCATATCCTTGTTGTGCACGCAAATGACTTGGGAAGAGGTGTTTTGATGTAACTGACTATTTAGTTTCTCGCTCGGTGTTTGATATTTATTTTAGAGTTTCATTAATTTAAATTTTTTGTCATTCGCTTTTAGGGTAAATCTATTTATTTCAAAAATAACTTTATATTCAAGACTCGAATATAAAAAATTTAATTTAAAAAAAAGTATTTATCACTCTGTCACAATTTTCGGGGTTGATGTTATATGTATGACCTCTCTATATATAAGACTAGGTATCACATATTCTCTCATGTCATTAGCATCAGTTAACCCACTAAATTTAATACTTTGACCAATATATATGTTTGTTGTATGTAAAGAGTATTTAATTTAATTAACAACACAATTAAAGAAAAAAGTTGTTTGTAATAAGAAGTTTACCAACTTTTTTTCATTTTTCATTCAAGTTGGTGAAAACTTTAATTGATGTAGTCTAAAGTAAGAAGTTTCTTAACCACCAATTTTGAGCTTGAATAGACCTTATACTATCTCGTAGGTTTAAGTATGTCATTCGTTAAGTTCGATAAACTAAATACAATTTTCATCCAATGGGTACAATAATTGAATCAAAACTATTAATCGAGGGCAAAAATGGTAATTTATTAGTTTTTTTTTTTGTTTCCCATCTGATATCTAGTATCCAGATTAGAGCCCAACTAAATTTGGATTCGCTCCGGAAAGTCCCATATAGGGAGGTAAACCTAACAAAGACGACTATGTATCCAGATTAGACTCAAACTTGAGACCTCTGATTAAGATAATTTGTTAGTTAATCCCATATATATATAGATGAATATGTTTCATTTATCTAAGAAAGTTTTTAATGTCCCTACTCTAATGAAATGATGATGATTTTTTCTTTATATAACAAAGACAAATAAAATGTCTTTCCAATGTATGACTTTTAGAAGTCTTTTACTATTAGACTCTTGTTTCTTTGGTTTACTAATTTAGTTGAAAATTGCATAACAAACAAGGAGACATAAAGAAGAAAATGAGTTTTTTTTTAAATTTTTATTGATGGAACTTTGTTAGGTTTATGCAACTTTAAAAGGTTCAATTTAGATATAATTAAATTACCTGAACTCGTTGATAAGTTTTAAGTGTTGAAATTGATTATATAAATAAATAGTTACATGTTTAAATTATGAGATTTCAAAACTGATAATAAGTCATTGATCAAAAATAGTTGATAAGTGTTAAGTGTTGAAATCGATTGCATAAATAAGTAATTACTTAAATTGTGAGATTCTAAAACTGATAATAAGTGATTGATCAAAAATTGCTACTATTTGTTTTTGTTTGGAGTAGGGGTGTGCATTCGATTTCTCGGTTTGGTTTTATACTATTCGATTTGGGTTTTTTCGGTTTTTTATTTTGAAGAAGTGTAACTCAATCCGAACCAAAATAAATTTGATTTGGTTTGGTTTCTCTCTTTTTGGTTTGAATTTTTTCGGTTCGGTTAATCGGTTATGTCAGTAATTAGAAACATAACAAAGTTATATTTGCAATTTGAAAAAACTTATATATATATATATATATATATATATATATATATATAATATTGAATTTCTTAAATATACTTTTTAATATAAATCACACGTAAAACGTAAAACACAATAGTTAAAAGTATATCAATTATAGATGTCCAAACATAAAAAAAAAACTAAATCATAATGAAAATAACTAAAAAGGGTCAAAAGTGGTTAATTCCAAGTTAATTCTAAACACACACACACATATATATATAATTTGGTTTTTTATGTTTTTCGGTTTTCATTTTTCTAAATCTGAAACCAAATCAAAAAACCAAACAAAGTAAATTGTAAATCCAAAACCAAACCAAAAATCCAAATTAGAATTTGATTTGATTTGGTTTGATTTTTCGGTTTAATCCAAATAGTGCACACCCCTAATTTGGAGTTAGGCAAGGACCCCACACAGGTGTACTAATAAGTGGTCCTTTTTAAGACCATGTTAAAAACACATTGTATTAATTTTTTCTGCCCTAAAATAAGTGTCGTTTTAATTTATTTTATAATCACTAAATAAAATAAATAAAATAAATAAAAATAAATAAATAAAAAATATATATAAGGTATAGTTTATTAAGATTATCCTTATTTATTACTTCATTCGTTCATTTTTATTTGTCTAGTATTTAAGGTATGATTCTTGTATGAGTTAGTTTTCACTCAATTATCCCTCGATCTCATTTAACTGTCGTTTAAATTTAAAAAAAATATCACAAAATGAATATTACTTTAGGAATTCAAAACTAAAATGAACAATTATTTCTAACTTAACAATATGTTAAAAAGTATGTACAAAAAGAATTAACGATTATTAGCTTTTTTCACTCACGTTAAAGAAAAACAAAATGACTTCCGATCTATGATTTCTAGAAGCCTTTATTAGACTCTTTGTTTACTATATTATTTAGTAGAAAATTGCATAACAAACAAATTAGAGACGTAAAAAAATGATTATTTTTTATTACTGATGGGAATTTGGTAGGTTTATGTAACTTCAAAAAGTTCGATATAGATAGAGTCAAACGTTCCCATCTTCTAATACTTTCCGATTCTGACTCGATATTTATATCAAATTAAAATAGTTTTTATATATATAAAACTAGCTTCACGACATGTGCGTTGGACGTGTGTATCGCATATACAATGTTGTAAAATAGAATTAATATTACTAAATTAATATTTTTAGTAAATAATTATAATTGAAAGAACATAGGACCAATGTTTTTAAATGATTAATACATATTGTCATAGAGTTACTTGTATTTTGAGATCATATTGACCAGATATCATTGAAACATTTCAAAATACATTCAGAATTTAAATATGGTGAGAAAGTGACATTTCTTTAGTAGTATTATTTTTACTTCACTCGATTTTGTAAACAAATCTAACCAACAAATTTATTTTTTTTAAAATATCAATTACCTTTCTTTTTGAGGTTATGAACATAAATGATGGACACCATTTAAGTATAATTATTCTTTAAAAATTCACACTTGAAATTTAGTGTGTGCATGACACTAATAAGGATTACCATAAATATTTCAATATTTTATCTTTATACGTAATCTATTTTTTACAAAATATTGTTACTCAATTAATATTTGAGTAACACTATCATAGAGAGGTAATTATAAAAAAAAAAAGGGTACTTTGTTGTTATAACGAATGATGGTTAAATAGAGGCTTGAGTGTATGTCAAATATTTAGCTTGACCAACACTTTGTTATATATATACATTTTAGTAGCGTAATTTAATTTT